TAAATTATATTTAGTAAACGTGGCAGATCATAATTCTCAATTCCAACAGACACGAAGGCAGATCAAATTTTAATCAATTTCCCTCATTGAAGTAGTCGAGATTGCACTGACTGATGAACCATGTTGCATCAAGAGTGACTAGTACGAAATTTAATGAACCAAATGAATTTTAACAAACTAAACTAACAATTGACGACAAATTTTATACATATCTAATAATATTAGTATAATATTTATTATTAAATTATATTTAATAAACACGGCGGATCACAATTCGCAATTCGCAACAGATACAAAAGCCGGACAGCCGAAGGCAGATCAGTCTCGAACAATCTCTCCTCGTCAGAGCGGTGGTCGAGTTGCAGATCGGCTGAAAGCGAACGAAAGCGTACGACCGTGGGACAAGTACAACCATATACTCTAACCGACGTCGAAATTGCGACGCGAAACAGTGGAACAGGCGTAAGAACAGGCGCCATTCGGGCACGCATTCTTCTATACATAGAACGTGCGCGAAAGAAAAGGGGAAAACGGCCGGCGATTTTTCTACTCTCTGTTTCTTGAAAACGCGGCGCGGTGCGCCACCGCGGGCAATATCGGCGAGCGGGTAGGACAAAGTATCGGGCCGGTGAAAAGAGCGGAACGTGCGCCGGTCCCTGTGTGTACGCCGTGTAGGACCCGTGTTGTGTACGCAGACGGCACGCACCGCCGTGTTCGCCGTGCCCGGTTCACAAGTGTGCAGCGAAAAAGTGTTCGTGCCGAACACGTGTTCCTTAACGCTAATGCGTTACCCGCGCCGCGTAAAGAGGCATTTCTTTCTCTCTCACTCTCACTCTGTCTGAGGCGGTCGTAACGCGACGCGCGGTGCCAACGCACTTTAGCGACTGCTCCTTCCTCTCTCGATTGTCAAGTCCACGGGATCGCCGTGTCGTCGATCATCACGAACAGCGTGTTCAGAGCGGATAGAAACGAGAGAAATCGATGGAAATTTCGAGCCGAGATGCGAATTAACACTTTTTAGGTGAGAGAGACTGTGATCACTGTCCGGAAGAGAACTTTGAAAGCGGTGGAATGTGTGCAATCACAGCTGCGTGAAATGAAGAAACATTACGCTCTGTAGCTTTACAAGTTTTTTTTTTTTTTTTTTTTTTTTTTTCAAAAATGACAAATAAATCTATATGTATTTAGTTATATAGTCGATATTTCTCTTTCAAGTTTCTTCAACATCAGTAACTTGTCGTAAATTGTCAGGATTAAAGCGGGCAAAATGTCGAGAATTGCGCACCGCTTGCAAAGTATTAACGCAAGAACTACCAAAGCAGTTAAACTGACCAATTTATAATTTTTTGAGGGTAATTTTGCGGATTTACGATGTTGCATTTTTAAGAAATTCCAGTGGTTTTTTTTGTAAAATATATGAATAAAAGCTCGTCTCCATTATCGTATTTATAAATCATTCTATGTATTCCAATTTCTTCGACTCAATTTCAATACTTTAGTTCTTGGTAGTTCTAATGTTAAAAGTGGCGAGTGGAACGAACCAACGATAGGTCAGCTACGGGGAGGGCACGCGAAAATAACGTTGGAAAATTTGGCGGAAAACATCAATAAAAAAGAACACGAAAAGAAGAAAGTTACAGAACCTTGATTCGCGTAGAGATAACATCGATGTAAAAGGTTCGATATGAAAAGAATCGAAATGAGCTGTAAAATCCAAAGTCAAAGATAAAAAAAGTCTACAAATGTCATTAGATCTGATAATCTTCGTTTGATTATTTGGTTAACCCAAGAAAATTAAAAAAAAAAGTTATTCTTAAGAATGGCGGCGGAAGTATTCGTAAAAGCCCAATCAAGAAGTATACAAAAGAGAGAGAGAGAAAGAGAGAAAAATAAAAATTAAGAATCGCTGAGCTAGAAGTATCTCAACGATTTTGCACTCTGTCGTTATATATTCGAAATTAATCACCGTGACACGAAGAAAAAAAAAACAAAAGAGAGAAGGACAGAATGGCAGCTGAAGAAGCGAGAGATATTGTATCGAGCAGAGCTTATCGATGTCCGATGAAATTGAGCGGACATCATTAAGCCGGGGAGGCCCGATCTCGTGGGAGTGTTGGCGCGTTCCCGTGGAGAGTAGTAAGATAATAACGCATTCGACAAGAGAATGGCATTGCTCTCGCGCGCGGTCGTCCGCCGCAGTATGAATTACATTGGCGATTGAAACTCGTTCGCGATGAAGAAAGAAAGAAAAAAAAAAGAACTGGCCGAGGGGAGTCCTCGGGCTGTCGGGATTTGCATATTAAATGGCTTGAGATTTATAACGGTCGGCCCCGGAGAGGTGCTAGCAATACACGCGATAAATAAAGAACGTTCGAACCTCGCGATAGACGCCGCCAACCACCGTCAAAAACCGATATCTTCGTATCCACCTTGTGTCTCGTTCGATTTCGTCCACGCCGGCGAACTGCTTTACCGACGAGGCGTCAAACATGCGTCGGACAGAATAATAAAAACAGCAAGTTGAATGAAGTTTCTTCGTCCAGTATACAAAATTTCTCAAGTATACTTGAGACTGACGGGAAAGAATAATTAATGGCTCTATCAGCTATTCTATAGAAGAGATCGATAAAGGGAATATTTCAATCATCGAGGCTTTTAATTTTCTAATGGAAATTAACTTCATCTAGCATGACTGATCTGAACTGGTAAGCGACTCCTTCAATTTTAGAAGGAACTATATTTACAACTGGCGACGAAATTGGTTTCTCTTTACTTTGCTGGTGCTTGGTAACAGTTCTTAGTTCCTGGGTATACAGTGAGGTAACCCGCAAGAAAAAGTGTCGATTGATTTCACCAAGTGAAATTTCAAATTCTACTGTATTTCACGGGAGGGAAAGACACGATAACGAGATATCGGGAACTGAAGGAGCTCTCGGTACTTTGTTCGAGCTGTTGTTGAAGAGTCGGTAGCCGAGGTGTTTAAAATTAGAAGTCCGTGTTTCCACCGGCGGCTTAATTCTTCCATTTATCTTGTCGCCGCTCTGTATCTGCGCGTCACACACGGCGGAAAAAAGAAAAAAAAAAAAAAATGACATCCGTAATACCGGTTTCTTCTAACTTCTAACTGACTTCTGATTAAAGAAACGAACGCGTGAAATTTCCACGACGGAGATCCGTTTTCTCCAGTGTCGTAACGACAAAGGCCCGACGAATCTGGTCCCTTGGAATCTAATTTCGTCCCGTCCAACGGAGGAGGCAGATGCAACATATTATCGAAACTTTCAACCACGTGGACATTTACGATGTCGGATGCTCGCGCGAACTCCCCAATAGAGGAGGATCCACGTGCGCAGGAAGCGAGAGATGCGGGTCACACGTGCGAGTCTTCGTTCTCTTTCAACCGTCGTTCGCGCGTACGACACACACCGTGAACGACACCTCGTAATTTCGCGCGAGTGACACAAAAGCAGATAGTTGCACGACGAGTGAAAACTGTCTAATTTACGAGAGCGACGAAGAATGTTCCTATTCTGCTCAATGCTGTATCACGTTCCACCTACGTCGAACTTGCTACATTCTTCGCTTGCTGGACACTGTCCGATGACTACAGTCCTGATACTTGCTGCGTACTAGTCAGTATTTTGTTCCAATGTTGCAATATTTTTCCTTCAATTCTAGTATTAAATAATAAAGTACTTAAAGTATTAAGTATTAAATATTGAATATATTAGTACTTAAAGTATTAAGTATTAAATATTGAATATATTAGTACTTAAAGTATTAAGTATTAAATATTAAATATATTAGTACTTAAAGTATTAAGTATTAAATATTGAATATATTAGTACTTAAAGTATTAAGTATTAAAAATTAAATATAGTATTTAATGTATTAAGTATTAAATATTAAATATAAATATTATAATATTACATATTTATAAATAAATAAATATTATAAATATATATTTATAAATATTATAATATTAAATATAGCTATATTACAATATTAAATACAATCAATTGCAAGCAAATAATAAATTTATCATTTCCTGCGATTAGTAATTTCTATCCTTGTATTTAAACTGGAAAGCGACGAGTTGCGCGAACCAGCTGCCAGCGCAAGGGTTTAATGAAATTTGGCATTTATTTCATTAAATTTTAAATAATCGCGTCTACCACAGCAGCGAGAATTTCAATAAGAATCGAATCGAAGACGAGTCTCGACAATCCAACATCTCGATACATAAACGTCACAAAAACCGCAGCTGTATCGAAGCATGCACTGTTAAAGTCGCGGTCGGAGAGTTCGTTGCGCTCGCGTGGATGGTGTTAGACGGCACGGATGGACGGTGACGTAAGCTCGAGGCGCGAGCAATGTTCACCGAATTCTGAATACCTTGGCACGGTTACCGAAGTTCGCGCGACGATGCAAATAGTCCCGGGACGGTGCCACCGGGAGAGACGCGCGCGTTAAATATAGCCAGGTGGTATAGTCGTTTCCGCTCGAATGAAATTCGACATTTCACCAACAATTTCGCGGTGACAATGGCCCTCCCCAGGCCTTCTCCTGATCTTCGTTTCTCGAAAGTGGATCGCGAGAAGGCCGAGAAAGAGGAACGTAGGCGGTCTAAAGGGTTAAATCCGGAGATTCGTTTCGAGATCCAGGAGGCGGAGTCCCCTCGTGCACGCGGGATAGAGACCGCGATCGCTTGCCAAGAGATCGCAATACGTCTTCGCCTATGCGATGGAGACAGATGCGCGAGGATTGATGAACCCTCTCGTCACTGCGCGAGGCATTCTTGCCGATCTACGAACAGGCCTTGAAACGATCCATCGGAACGCATCAGTATTTGCCCGCGGGATCGAATCCTTCGCGAATCGTACGTATATTAAAAGATGTTGTGAGTACGAGTTTTATCGTATGTGGTTGTATGTTTCGACGTGGCTGTGTTTCACATCATTAGTGAAATTAGTATTGTCTGTGAGAACGTGATACCATACCTTGCTGAGACTTACCGCGTTTCTGCATGAAATTAAAGAGATCGTCTAGAAATTCCTTCCTTTTCGGATCATCGCTAATCTCGTACAGCTGAAAAAAAGAAGACAACGGTGAATAGATGTCATTGGCCATCGAGATATTTTGTTGGGAACAAAATGTTTCCTGTGTTTTCTTTTTTTTTTTTTTTTTTGTTATTTTTTTATTCTTTCGCGAGTAGGCAGAGACAACAGGAGAGGCCTGTTGGACAATTAAGTCTGTGATATTTCTCCAGAGGCCAGAGATCGGCAGCAATCGATTATCTTTGTGACAATCAATTACTAAGTATAATATAAGTGATTAATTTGTGTCTCGTTACGATCTATAATGTGTTTTTCATTCTTCTACGTAGATAGCATAGTAGTTTTGTATCAATTGAATTTATAACAACTTGATAAAAAACTTGTAACTGTCTGATATATTTTTGGTATAAGATTTTCAATCGATGTGAAACTTGTTAAATACTTGGAACAAATCTTGAGAGAATTGTAGCGCACATTATAGTAAATATAAAAATATACTTTCTACAAAATATACACAGTGTAAATTATCAAGACAATTATAATCAAACGTAGTCATTTATCATTTTATGATTAATAGTTATTAAACTGATCGTAATTCATTGATTAATGATTATCAACTAATCGCTAGCCTTGAATTAATATGCTTGACTTTACATTAATCGTAATCGCGAATGATTAAACTGTGAACGTTTGTGGAAAAACGTATTTTTAGACGCGCACCTTTCAATATTTTAAATATTATACGTTAAATGTTCCTTTCACATTTAGTCTCTTAGATTAGGTGTGTAGTTAAAAAAGTAGGTAAATAGTATGTATACTGAATGTTATGTAATATTGTCTCGTACAAATGTAGAACGTTTTCAACAAATTAATATTCGCTAACAAATGTCGGGAACGAACAATGAGCTTTACAAATATGAAAATAACAACAGGTTAATAAAAAAATATATATATAATAATAGTAATTTACGCAATTCACAGTAGCATAGCGACAACTTAACATCATTACAAGTATTGTAACGTCGGATTGTTGAATTTTCACCTAGCGTCAGTTCAGACACCACTGAACAACGATATTCGTTCAGAAAATTCTACATACCCGTTACTCGTGCATATTCGCATACTTGTCACGGTTATTTACATGTTTGTCGAACATAAATTTCGCACACGCTGCTTGCGTATTCCACGTGCGCAAACATCCGCGCGGACCGTTAATCGTTAATCAGGCTAATCGTTTTGCCCAACTCTGCCCCGGCCGTTTCTTCTAGCAGTGACCATGATTTTCACAACCCTTGGCGATCGATCGTCGCGCGAGTTTCTCTCGAGAGTTTGCCCCGTTCCCTCACGGACGAATAAAACGTTGCACAGCCGGCCCCGGGTTAATAAAAACAGGAGTGAAACAAGTGTGCTCATAGCGACAGGCAGATTAGTTAGCTCCGATTATTAATGATTCCGTTTAACCTGCCTCATAACCCGAAACCCCCTCGAGACCGAGGCAAAGCCAAATTCCCTTCGGGCTAGCGGGGCCCGTATTATCATATTTGTTATGTACGATGTGCTATATCTAATCCGAGGCCTTCTAATTGCTTTTATAATACGAGGCAAGCTTGGTCCTCCTTCGTTTTCTTTTACCCCACGACTCGGCTCGTCAACACGGCCGGGAACGATTATTGAAAGTAATTGCCGTTTTCAAGAGATCCTTCCCTTGATCATTCGTCGCCGGTCTCGATCGGTCACGACCGTTCCCGACAATCTGCCCGCCCCTTTATCACCTTCAAGCGACAGCTGCGAAGAAGTGTCGCACCGCCGGTGGTGGACGATAAACCGCGCGAAACGTGACGGTTCCAGCGATTTCCGCTTTTAGAAATTACGTAGCGACGAGTCTCTCTCTCTCTCTCTCTCGAGAGAGAGAGATATCGTCGCAGAGAGAGAGAGACGGAGACCAAGACAAACGATCGCCCGATAGAAGCAGTCGGCGATGGTACACGAGTCGAATGTTACCTTGAATCATCGTCCGGATAACACGCGCTTCCGTCGCGCCAATTTACGAGCTGATTCGATGTTTAAGCTGTTATTGGTGGATGCAGACGTGTCCGGACGAACGAAATTTCACTCCTCGCCAACAGTGAACAACGATCAACGATCGAGTAATAATTAATCTACTTGAAGGCAGAGAGGGAGGGAAAAGCTGTGTACCGATAAAACTCACAGTTTGACAGCCGTATAACTTTGCACGTATGACTCTATCATCCGGATCTATGAAATATTCAACGATCGAGGTTCGAGTCGTGTTTCGAGAACGTCAAATAGCGAGAACTGAGGTATAAATCTGTCGATCGCGTTGTACAAAGGTTACTGAATTAATATGCATGCTGTGTATCTGAATTAAATTTGCATATACATGTAAATTTATATATTAATTATTTATATTATTTATTATTTTTATTATTTGTACTATTTATTATTTCTTCATACTATTATTTATATAGTATAAATAACAAATAATAATAAATAAATAATAGTATACTGTATACTATCATTTATAGTTATTTAGTTATTTATTATTTATAAATACTTAGTATAGTATATTATTGTTTTATACTATTATTTATATAGTATAAATAATAAATAATAATAAATAAATAGTATACTATATACTATTATTTATATAGTATATATTTATATACTATACTATTAGTTATTTATTATTTATACTATAATTTATATTTATATAAATATATATGTATATGCAAATTATATTATATATTAATTATATTATATATTGTATATATATGTATGTACATGCAAATTTAATTATACATGTGTCTCGAGTCGAAATGCGTGTCTGCAGTCGTTTTTGCATCATACTCGGTTTTACCCGCGCGTTGCAATGAATGGCGTTTCCTTGGAACTATCAAGACACGGAGAATGTTAATTCGAACCTCGTCGGAATCATTTTTGTCGCCACAGAGTTCAGTCGATCGAGCAAAAAAAAAAAATCATTAACCGATCGACCAGACGTCATCTAGTCATCGTCGTAATCGTTCTCCTCTGTTCGTTGTCCAATACGAAGCAGAATGAAAAAGGTGTTTCCTCGACGCGTTTTGTCGTCTGTCATTCGGTATTGTTCGCTTTCCAAGGACACGTGCCATACAATCGAACGACGCCTACGATACCCCGAGACCTATTTTACAGCAGGATTCGCTCGTAGATGAAACGTAGATGAAACGTAGACGCGAAACAATTTGCAAAACACGCTCGATGCCTTTGTAATTAATTAAAATGGTCGTGGTTGGGACAGCTTGAAATGTGACTGGAAAAATACCGATTCGACTCGAATCTCTGAATTTCAGAAGCTCTGAATATAGTTCGCGTGAAATGGCAGGCTGTACGCAGAGTTTCGCATAACTTTCTCAACGAGGTAAACTCTCGCCGCGCTCGACATTCGTTTTCGCGAATCTTTGGACCGTCACGTGGCAAATCGTAAATGCAAAGTGACGGAGCCGATCGTCGCAATTTCCTGGCTATATCGTGCGCGTAGCGAAAGAACGAAAGAAACAAGGTGAAACTGGTAGGAGCAGCGATTTGGTTCTCCGAAATGGCCGGCGCGGCGCTGCGTATCGCGGCCCACTTATTCATACATTCCACGGTGTTCTCTCTCGTGGCAACGCCCTACACCTCGATCCCGCCTGTCCACCCTTTCCGTTCAGACGAACGACTGGACAAACGAACGAACGAACGGACGGACGGACGGACGGACGGACGGACATTTCTCAAGGGCCATTTTGTACCACTTTCTCGTGTTTTTTCTTTGGCTGCGCGAGCGATGAGCTCGTTAGGGGCAGCCGGAGGGAGAGGACGGGGTAAAAGGTCGGGGAGAAAGAGGAACGAGCCCGAACGCGAGCACGGCCAAGGGAGAAACGAAGAGAGAACGAGAGAGAGAGAGAGAGAGAGAGAGGGTTCCGAGGGTTCAACCAGCGTATATTGATTGATCTACAGTTAAGCGGACTGACGGCAGCCACGTGAAGATCGGGTAGAATCGCTCTGTCTCGATCTTCCTCTTTCTCTCTCTCTCTCTCTCTCGCTCCTCCGCGTCGCTTCACCACCGTGAAAATAAAGAGAGGAGAACGGAATTTGCTCTCGATGATGCATGCCTCGCGGGCCCCGCCCTCTCCTTCTCATCGACTGACGGGGGCCCCCGGTGAATAATAATTCCTGATACAGCCGACGTTGATCGGGTTACTTTCGTCCCTGCGTTGTGGCGAAGGAGGGACGCGGCCCCGGTCAGATGATCGATGCACAACGCCGCTGCCTAGCGCCACGTCCAACGGAATGATTCTCCATCGCGCGTCCACGAACGCGATACGGTTGCGCTTTTATATCGTTCGGGCGATTAACTATCGTTAGCATCCCATCGTCGGGTCGTCGAGTCCCTCTCGCCACGGGACGATTCATCATTCTCCACGATCGATTTATCGATCCTCGCTGCGCAAGGACATCCGCGCGATTGATACGTTTCGTAATGTTTCATGCACTCCCCTTCCGGGTTTCTGTTTCCGGAGATTACGAAATGTTCCTGCTGGGCGTTCTCTGCCGGCGAGAACAATTTGTTCGAGAATTCAAATGTACAGCTGATGGAGGAAATAAGAAAGAACGGATAGGAATTCTCGGTAGAAATTATGATCAATCTTTATCGTGAAGTTTGGAAACTTTCATAGATTGACACAGAGCGTTCTCTGACCCCTATATGAAATGAAATTTAGCCAAACGTTCTAATATGGAGTTTAATGATTCAGAAATAGGACAAAATCTGATATTACTAATATTGTTAATATTGTTAATTAGATTGGAAGTGGATTTTTAGCGATAGATACAATTGTAGACGTAATGCACAGGAAATGTCTAACACCGTGCACAAAATAATAATACATTAGGTGCACCAAGTCGAATAAGTCGACAGCAGAATAATTGAAATCCGTTGCAATTCGATCGATAATCGATCATCAATAAGTGTCTCCCTCTAGAGACA